TTCTTTCTTTCTTTTCTTTCTTTCTTTTCTTTCTTTCTTTTCTTTCTTTCTTTTATTTCTTTATTTTCCTTCCTTCCTTCCTTCCTTCCTTCCTTCCTTCCTTCCTTCCTTCCTTCCTTCCTTCCTTCCTTCCATTCCTTCCTTCCCTTCCCTCCTTCTTTCTTTCTTCCCTCTCCCTCTGTCCCTCTTTCTTTCTCTTTCTTTCATTTTCTTTTTCTTCTATTTTCTTTCCTTTCATTTGCAGTATATTCCAATGTATGAAGGGCCCACAATTTAATCAGTTCTTATTGATGATTTGTAGCCTATTTCCAATTTTTTGCTATTATAAACGCTGTAATAAATAAACATGAAAGGGAAGATTATTTTAGACTAGAACAAATAAAAGTGCATTAAACCATTAAATAGGGACAATCTGGAAAATAACTTAAGACAAGTCCCTTTGTGGAACTGGGGAGTGAGGGCATTGGGGAAGAGGGCACTGTAGTCAGTTGAAGATGTAAAGAATGACCAGGGAGATCTGTTCAAGGGGAAAATTTCTCTTAGACTTTTTTTCAAGCAAGATAAATAGAAAGTTTGGGGAGAACAACATCAAGTAGGGAGATGCATTTGTACAGTCCTAGGCTCTTAAATTTAATAAGATGTTTTTAGTGTTTGGAAAATAATATCCAGTTTGTCCTTAGGCAGATGAGCAAATGATTAGAAAAGCCCATTCTTGGCCACCTCCTAAAATTCCAACAACTTTTTTAAGAGGGGAAAAAAAAAAAAAAAGACTGTGCCTGATAAGGCCCTGTCAATCTAAGAGGATATGGTACAGCAGACACTGTTAGTGGCCCGCCCAACATCAATCTCCCTTTATCCTTGCTGGCAGAGGTCTGCCTTCATCTGGTAGCCTCTTCTACTCTATAGCATAGTTTGGCCTCATTCCCATCCAGGAGCGGATCCTGACTAGTCAAGTTATTCACGGTGGCAACATTCTTCACAAAGATGCATGGTTGAGGTGTTTATATATGGCCCAATTTTGACAAATGACAGAAGACAAGTCATCTGGAGAGGCAGGGTCAGCTTTTGGAAGAGCAGTTAGGGTCAAGGTACTTTTTCCTTTATTCACATGCCAATAGATAGCATCTCAAATGTCTGCCCAGTTCTCTTGTTCTTGCAAGAGAATCATTCCTGTTGGACCCAGCCACAGCCACTCCATAGGTATCTGAGTCAATGAGGGTTTGATAGGACAGCAAGCACCTGGACAGTTAGTTACTCCTTCAAACAGCGTTCTTTAAATAATTGCTTAGTTTTAATATAGAAATAGATTTTCTATTCTCTAAAGATTTTCTATTTAGATTTATAGAGAAATAGATTTTCTATTCACACTTTGTTTTCTAGAAACAAATTAAATATAATTTCCACTAATTGAAGCAGAGTCAGTAGTGAAAACATGAGGCAGTCAATTCATTTTTCCTGTAGCTCTCCTTCTTTTTCTAGCTTTCTTTCATGATTTTCTTTTTTGGACCAGGCAACTTCCTAAGAGGTACACTGAAGGGCTTACAATATATGTAACACAAAAGATCACACTTATCAGCTACACAGTGCTACTCATACTTTATTTCGCTTTAGAATCTCTGTTCTGCTGACTTTCATTTCATGTTTGTGGAATATTGCAGAGAAATTCATTAGGGATATAGACCTGCTTTAGAAATATGTTTTGTTGTTTTGTTTTTAAAATTTCCCCTCAAGGGCAGTAGTTTGGCAGCAGTCCATTTACATTTTGTCAATTTGTTCCAGTGATAAGCATCATTTCATAGGTCAGCATACCACAATAACTAAAATAGTTGCTCAGCCCCCTAATCTGGCTCTGGGTCACAGATTAAACATAATTTAAGCACTGAAAATGTGGAATACTAAGTGCCATGGAGCACTGAAAAAAAAAAAAAGCCTTCTTGTGGCTAGCTAGAACGTAGTTTGTATAATGGGAAAAAGCGTGGGTTTTAGAGCCAGAAAGCAGGGCCAGCTACAAAATTTGCAGTACCCAGCACAAAATGAAAATGTAGATCCCCTTCTCATACAATTATTAAGAACCTCAAGGCAGTGACAGTGGCACACTAAAGCAAGTACAGTGTCCCTAGGCAGGTGGCACACCCATGAATCCAATCCTACCAGTGTGGCTTAGGTTCAAACCTCCCTCCTGCCACCCCAAAGCTCCCTGGTTTGGGGCAAGTCACCCTCTCTGAATCTCACATTTTTCGTCTGTATTATAACCAAACCTCCTTGAAAAGCACCTGACACATGATAGTTTCACATTCCTCTTACTTTTTTATTCTGTTGTGAATTCTTCAGTTTTCGTCGCATCCTCATTACCTACTTTTAATATTCAAAAGCGTATTACGAAATGGCTCATGTGTCATTTGTGACCTACAAAGTGGCAATTTTATATGGCTCATCCTAATAAAAATTCCTTAGCATGACTTTGAACAGCATCGTCCTTAGACACAGGCAACTGAGATCCTTCCTTTGAGCCTTTATAGGGGACACGGGCCCCTGCCCCCATACCTTACCCCCATCCCCTTGTTCTTCCAGACATATCCTTCCTTATCTAACAAGGAGTTCCCGCGGCTAAGTCCTCTACTAAACCACACTCTGTATCAGTACTGAGGATTCCCTGCCCAAATGACCTTCTCAGCCCGCTTCCAGGACCCGCTTTATCTGTGCTCGGGAACCCCCTCCCACTCTTGGAAGGCTGTGCACAGAACTTGGGCAGGAGACACCATCACCGGAGGCGTGTTTGGGCTGAGTGGGTGGAGCATAGACAGGCAGGTGGAGGGATGGGAACCTGGGAGGAAAGGACGCTGGTAGTGCACACCAGGCGCCTAGCAGGGCCTCCTCAATCTGGGTGGGAAGAGGCTCTTATTCTGTTTTTTGGCGCCTATTTGTACGATTGCCCCTCTCCTCCACGATCTCCGTCCATCCCCCAACATAAGGGGCCAGTTCGGCTTTGAAACTCACATATTATGTTCACAACCTACTCTTTCGGTTTTATCTGTAGTGTCCATCCCCCAACATAAGGGGCCAGTTTGGCTTTGAAACTCACATATGTTCACAACCTACTCTTTCGGTTTTATCTGTAGACATACTTCTCTGCACCTCACCTCAACTACTTATGATTGCTCCAAATATTCTGGACATTTTTGAAAACCTCCATGACGTTCTTCATGATGCTGTCTCCCTTTTCTCCACCTAATGAAACTCTGCTAGTTATTTCAGAACCAGCTTATGTATCAACTCCTGTATTAGCCCTTTCTGGCAATCCTCTCTACCATCCCATCCCTTACTCCCAAACAGAGTTAGATGTGTGTGTGTGTGTGTGTGTGTGTGTTCTAACCAATGTTCTCATAACATTCTTTGTGAAAACACACTACAGTGAATGTAATTGCTTTTTGCCCTTAGACTAGATACGTGGGAGCTCTTCAAGGGCAGAAAACATGCTTCTTCATGCTTATTCTCAGTGCCTACCCCCAGACTGTGACACTCAATAGACAGTCAACACATCTTTCAGTGTGGCAGTGTCATCAAAATCCCAGTGCCCCCAGTGACCTGATGGCTTTAGTCAAATTACTGAATCTCAGTTTCCTCTTCTTTGAAATAGAAATGAACATAATCACCTTCTTGAATGGTCCTAAGGATTAAAAAAAACAATCCATCCCAAGTGCTTCAGAGCAATTATAAACAGCATGGGCTCAATAGAGGGTAACCATGATTAAATTAGCTCCTAGATTCTGATTCTTGGTAACATAGAAGAGGAAGTAAATAGTCCTTCCAAGCTAACGATGTGGTTTCTTGAAATTTGTATTTACTACCACAATCTTAATACAACTGTGAGAAAATGGGTTTTAAAAATTGCCTGAGGTAAGGTAAGCAACACTTGAAATTTGTTTATTAAAGAAGGTACCAAGTAATATTTTTAAATAAATCCAGATCATTAGGTAACTGCTGGCACTCTTGATACCAAATGGATGAGAAAAATACTTCAATCTATTTTGAGAGGTATTCATCATGTTTATATATCAACTTAATAAAGAGAAATAAAGAAGCATAAAGTGTATTTTTATAACTACCTCTTTAAGAACTTTATATAAATATATAATAACTATTATGTTTTCATAACCAAATATTTAGGTATTTCTACAAAAATGCTGTAAGCCTACATATATATTCTTTTGATGTTTTAAAAAAGGAAAAAGTTAACTGCAAACAATATGCTAATAGAAACCATACAATCACTATGCATTGCTATTTGTATCATATCCAGTTTTCTATGACTTGTTACCCAAATTGGGGCCTTTCGTCTATTAGCATATTGTATAATATTAAATAAAGCTGCTGATATTTTCATTCTTGCACTTCTAAATCCTGTTTTTATTAAGGAGAAAAACCAAGAAAATGGAATGTGATCTAAGCTTGCAGGAAAAATAAAAACTGGTCGATTACACTTATTTGAATCTTATTGCTCATGCATAATGACTATAATAAAGTTTGCTTAATGATGTCAATCTTTGTGTTCTAGACTAGTGCAAATAAAATAAAGTAAAAAAGATATTTCTATAAAGCAGGTGAAGTAAACAATTGTTGAGCCTGTTGCGAAATCACACAATTTTTTCTGCAAGTTATCCATGCTATTACTATGCTGTTAACTGTTATAGCTTACAATCTCACCAATGGGAGACTACATGCCTACTTATCTACAAGGGCTAATTATGCTGTTATTTTTTCACAATAGCACAACTCATTGCACGTTTAAGATTCACTTAAATCAATAGGAACTGCTCATTTAAAATCCTAGGATATATGAAGATATTTGAGGTTGAGAATAAATAGTGGGAGAGGTAGAGATATTGATAGCAAACTTAGGAAGACTGCAAAAGCAGAGAGAGAAATCTGGTAAATCTTGTATATTCTAGGTGGTAGGACTAAAAATTAGTATTAGCTTTACAAGGTGAACAACAACAACATCATAGTAGAGTAACTTTTTTTTTTTAGTTGCCTTTTGTGCTTAAAAGTATAATAAATGAAATACCATCTTTCCTCTTGCCATAATGCTAGGGATACAAATATTTGAATTCTAAATTGGAGGCCAGAGGAAGCAGATATGTTTTTACGGAAAGAGATGACGGAGTTTGGCGTTGAGTTCTCTCTCCTTGCTTAAAAGATCCAGGCTGTGCTTTTTGAAAGCTTCGGACTGCAGCCTGAGTTCATCGTAGGCCTTCTGGATTCCATCTACCCGGCGCTGAAGTTCCCGGACTCTCAAGTTACTGTCCACAGCCACTGCCTCCTGCTCAAACCTCTCTAGTGCTTGTCTCCTGGCCACATCTGCTGTCTCTAACTTCTCCTCAAGCTGGCGGATCTCTGCTTGCTTGTTCTGAAGCACCTGGCCCCTCTCCATGGACAGCTGCAGCAGCTCCTCTTTCTCATGGGTAACAGTCTTCAGCCTGGCCTGCAGCTCCTGGCTCAGGCTGCTGTGGGCCTGCTCAGCCTTCGCCATCTGCTCCATGGCCTGCTGGTGCTGCTGCTTGAGGCTCTGAAGCTGGCTGCGCAGCTGCTCTGTCTCCTTGGTGTGGGTGTAGGCCTGCTGGCTCTGCAGCTCCAGCAGCTCCTTCTCTCGGGTCTGTGCCTGGCAGGCATCCTGGGCATACCTCTGTTTCAGAGTCTCCAGCTCCTTGGCCAGGGCTTCGCTCTGGGTGGTGAGCTGCAGTACTTTGGCCTCCTGGTCCTTCACAGCCTGGCTGAAGAGACTGTGGTTCTCCAGCCTCAGCTTCTCATTCTCCCTTCTCAACTCGATGTTCTGACTCTTGTGTTCGTCCTTGAAGCGTATCATCAACTCGTGGTTGGCTGCAAGGGTCATAAAGCGTTCCTCTAACTTCTGGGCATGCACACTCTTGGCCTTCAGCTTCTCGGCCTCTAGCATCCTCTTTTCCTCCAGTTCTGCGTTGAGCAGCTCCAGGACCTGGCAGCGCTCCAGGGCCTCATCTGACCTCCGCTTCAGAATGCAGATGAGATGGGACTGCTCTTGGATGCGAGAGCGAAGCATCGCCTTCTCACTTTTCTCCTCCTCAGATAGTCCCCTGAGGTTTGCCAAGGCTTCCCTTAGACCGTCCAGTTCCTTAAACTCCATCTCCTCTTCCTGGTTTTCCAGTTTTTTGTTTTGTGCCTCTGAGAGCTCTTCAGAGGGTGGGGTGTCCATCCTGAGAGCCTGCTCTTCCTGAGGCATAGGTGCTCTCCACTACGGGCTGACTACACAGTCTTTCCCCTTTAGATTTCAAAAGCCACAGTGTTGCTAGGGACTCCTGGCAGCTGATTTTTCCAGTAAGGAGCCCTGTGATTGGTAGAAAGGTCTTCAGAATGCTGTGAAGTAACAATAGGAGGAGTCCAATCCAATTTGGTCAGGTTATGCTTGCCTGTCTAACCAATCACCGCTCCATAGACAGTGTCTGGTCTATACTGCATTGAAAAGAGATGCCAACCCCGTCGATTTCCAGCTGACATCAGGGGAAGAAACCTGACTCCCCCTAATTTCTGGTAGGATAAACAAATCAAGCAGTGACATATTCCTCCTCCCTCTCTCCACTTCAGTTGTCGTTAGAATAAACTACTGTCTTTGGAAACACGGTTGGTTGGCCCTTAAAATTTTGCAGTTTGTAAATGCAAAGTAGCAATGAGAGCCAGGCCCCTAAATGGCCGTGAGTTTGCACCTGTAGTGTTTGGCACAGCTCAGCAAACCCCAGTGAAGTTTCTTTTTTTCTTCTTTAGGATTGTCACCAGCTGGGAATAAATATTCTTTATTAGATATTCAGCACTCCTTGTTTTTATCCACTAGCAAAATAAGGTTACAGAAAGAAGCTTAATGAATGATATAGATATGATAAACATTAAAACAGAAGAAAAAGATCCGAATGAGGCTTATCATATAACAAAGCTCGTTCAAGATGGATTAAATGGTTAAATGTAAAGAATAAAACAAAATCAAAGTCTTAAAAATCAAAATAAGAAGAAAATAAAGGTAATCATGAAAAGCTCTGAGTCAGGAAAGACTTTCTTAGCTTTAACATTATATAAGAGATTAGTAAGAAAAAGTTTAGTTTGACTTTGTTAAACATGTAAAGTTAGGTATAATTTTTAAAAGTATGCAACCTCTGTGGTCTCTCTCAGCTCTCCTTCCTCTAGAGCTGCCTGATATTTTGCCCCCTAGTACAACCCAACTGCTGAAGCTCCCCTAACTGACCAGCTCTCTGACTCTGTGCCTGGAATGCCTTTTCCCACCTTTTCTCACCTTTTCCCTTGTCGCTTTAATAGTTTACTCAGTGTTTTATACTTAGTTAAGAATCATCTCCCCTGTTAAGCCTTTTCTGGCCCCTATATGTAGAATCGACCACTCACCTCTCTCGGTGCATCCACTGTAGCCTGTTTCTACTTCTCATGGAGCCTGTGAAAGCCTTATTACACTCATTGTTTACCTGCCTGCTTCCCCAATCAAACCGTGTGATCATTAAGGGGAAGGGACTGGGTCTGTTTCATTCTTGATGACTAGACCAGTGCTGGCACTTTGGAAAATTTCAGATAAATGTGTGTTGAAAGAATGCTGAAGGCAAAATCAAATCGAGAAAAAGATTCACCATAAATATGACAGGCAATAGATTTATATTTTTATAGAGAACCTGTACAAATCAATAAAGCTATTTAACACCTTAAAAGAGAAATCAACAATTAAGTTCATAGATAAGGGGTCAGAAATGGCAAAGAATTGAGCCCCATCAGCGATTCACTAAATATAAGTTAAAATTTGATAGTATTTCATCTATCAAATTAGTCAAAATTTTTCCCTTTATTTTCAGACTATAAGGACTGGTAGGGGTATAGAGAAACAGATACTGCTTATATTATTGGTGAAAGTTAGTTGATGGGATGTAGCATTTTAATGCCTTTTAAACTGGATTGCCCTTCTGGGGGAGATCTTTGCTCAGGAAATAATCTGAAAGAAAAAGTTTTGCTCAAAGCTTTTCATTGTAGTGTGGTTTATAACAACTAAAAGTTGGAAACCTAAATGTCCAAAAAAGAGAAAGTTAAGAAAATTATATTTCATGTAAGAGAATATTATGCAGCCATTAAACATTATCACGTCTATAGGTAATTTAATGCTATGAAAGCACTTACCTTAGAAAGATAACTGAAAAAAGCAAGGTAAAAAATTTTTAATTCAGAATGATCTTAATGCTGTGAAAACTTAAGCATAAAGTGAAGAGTTGACAGTTCCTGCACTCACTGTTTCTGGTGTCGGATTTAATCTCTCAAGTCATAATGGTAAGGAAAAAGCCTAGGTTATTATAAATGTTGGATGGGTTTTTTAATGCTTCAGATTTCACAGAGAGCAAAACAGATCTGAAAGAAGAGGTTCAGAGTTTCCCTTTGGTCTCAAAGATCAGGGTCTCATGCCCCGAATCCTAAATCATTCATCTGTACAGGGAAAGTAAGGTTGAGGACTGAGGAAATTTCCTAAACCTCTTAAAGTATGGGAAGTTTTATGAGAGTGAGTTCAAAGACAAAAAAAATGTGAATTAAACTTGTTTGTAATGTTTCCCTTTCTCTTTACTTTCCTTAGACTTCAAGCTTCGATACTGAAATGAAACTCGTAAAGGTGAGGCAAATGACTAGAAAATTAGAATAGTCCTCTTCATTTAAATAAAAGGGTAATACATATACTGAAATTTTTATTTGCCAAGTAACATATATGGCTGTCTGATGTAGTAAAGTGAATTCACAGAATATGTTTTCTATGAAAAGGAAGACAGGAAAAATACTCAAAATGTTACTAGCAGTTGTTTCTTGAGGATGAGCTTATGGATACTCTCCCTCCTTTTTCCATCTTTCTAAGTCCCTCACACATAGTAGATGCTCAATAATATTTGCTGATTAAATAGATGTTCCACATTTAAAATATTTTATATTTCTTTTATGTTAAAATTATTTTAAATAACATTAAATCCATAGATTACTCATTAAGGCTAAGAATGTCACAATCCTAATCAATATTCACTCATTGATTTATTCGACAAACATTTGCAATGTATGGTATGGTGCTAGATGTTAAGTATACATTAATAAATTAGATGCCATCACACTGCCAAAGAACTTGCAGTTTAGTAATAATGAATTTTGGCTCCTCTCTGCCCTAGTTGTTTTCTTTGTTCTACCATTATTTTTCCAGCTACCTTTTATCCTAAAAGTATCTAGTATATATTCCCTTCCCAGAGGTCCAAGGCTAAAATTTGGCCATCACTCTCTCTAGTAGTGGCCAATGAGTCCCTTCCACTTGCTTTTATTAAGTCTTCTAACACCACTTTTTTTAAAGCTACTATTTACAGAATTCTTCCATATACCTTACACACCACTAGGCATTTGTGCATCTTTTCTCATTTAATCTAACAATATTCTTGAAAGGTAGACATTATTATCCACATTTTATAGTTTATAGAAAACAAAGTAGTTAAGGCACACAGATGTAGGCAAGTTGCCCCAGGTTCGAACCCAGATCTTTTTGATACCAAAGCCCTCATGGTCTAAGGTTCAAACCTCATTTATTCATTAGCTTATTCATTCATTCTCTCAATTAACATGCTGAGAAACTGTTATGTACAAGGTTGCAGTCCCAGCTCTTAAGATAATTACAGTCTAATGATAGAGACAAATAATAGAAAAACAGCAATTCAGTGTGATAACTGCTACCATAATTATGGGTAAATTAAACACATAACTCCTCTCAAAGAAAAAAGGTAGGGAGCAATGATCTGAAGTCTGAGCCTACATCTTGCCTGAGGTACTGAATGGTAGAGTAAGAGTCTTCTTTTTGCAAGGCTAAAGAAGACTTAGTTCTTTTGTAAGAAGTCAGTTCCAAAAAGTGGAGGGAATGTTCTGTGATTGGATCAAATATGCCGGGGCATTTGTTTTGTGAAATTAGTTAATAAGCCTGGGAGGGAGTGGAGACAGGAGAGGAGATGGGAGAGCAATTCCAAAGCAGAATGGGAATAAACGTACAAGAGAAGACAGATGTTCAGGGGCTTTCTATTTGGATGGTGAGTACGGATGACAGAGATGTTCAAGGAAGAAATCCAAACAAGTTCCCTGGTACGGCTAGGTGTCTCTCGAAGAAGTTTGCCAGGCTAACAGGAATCATGCTTTGTTTGGATTCCTAAGCCATGTGAGTAGGCCACGGGTTTCCTAGGACCCATACCACCTACTCAGTAGATGGGGAAATTTAGGCCTCTCTGGAAAGAGTCTACAGTGACTCTTGGAAATATTACTTCAATTTTTAAGTGATGGAATTTTGAAGTATTTTCACTTGAGGAAGACAAAATTACAGCTCTTGATTTCTCCAGCACCCATAGCTATACAACATTCCAAGTGATAATGGATCACTTCTCCCTGGCCACATGGTGGGCATGTAATCCAGGCAGGGTCAATTATAAGATCTTACCCTATTCAGTCCTAGCCACAGTGAGTGATCCAATAGGTGGGAACATGACCCAAACCTGGCCAGTTTTTCCCAGAGATTTCTCAAGCTGAACCTAGAAAAGAGAAGAGCTTTAGCTGAGAGGTTGTGAGGCTGGAGCTGCCTGTGATGCTATTTCCCACTCTCTAAGAGACAGTATCTGAGTTCCTGGTTCCAGCCCATAACTCCCCAAAGTAATCTAAGTTCCTGTAATACCTCTTTAATTCTGTGGGCTAACTCAATATATTTCCAATAAATCTCCCTTTTTGGCTTATTTCTATTTAGATTTCTAAAGAAAAAAAAAAAGCCCTTAAAACATGCATTTCAAGGAGCTGCCTCCAGTTTGAAAAGATATTCATTAAAGTTTTAGTAGGAACTTTGCTTTAAAGTCCCACTGGCTCGAAAGTCTGTCAACATGAGTTCATTAAAGAATTCAGGCTGCCCACACTTTATAATGCATGAAGGTCTCATTTAGCCTTCCTCTTGTAGCCAGGTGAGATTAAGGTTATAATTTATATTTTCTTTTTCAGAAAAAAAAAAATGTGACATGAAATCCCCTTGGATGTCCTGAGGCGTCAGAGGTGCTGTGGGCAGATGCAAGGGGGGGGTGGGGGTGGGGGGTGGCGTGGTTATTTCTGTTGTCCACTCCAGTGTTTTGAAGGTCAGGGATCTGAGGATACAAGGAGGTAGGCAGTCCTAGTCCTAGATGAGGAGATACTGGAACCAATCTCATTCATGCTTCAGAGCTGGCTGGATACCGGGAGGTGGCTGAGCAGGTAACCTAAACAAGGGCTGGGAAAGAAGCTTGTGCTACTATGAAGTGGCAGGAGCTGGAACAGGATTTGCACTTCTGCTTCTGTTCTAGGCTGACCTTGGAGGTGTGCTTCCACTCAGCTCATATTGCCCATCCTATGGTCAGAACAGGAGCTGGAAATAGACATAGATTAAATACTCTCTTAAAAGACCTTGACAGACAATGGGAAAGTCGTTGGTCTAGGTTAGTTGCTCTTACTGGCAAGTGGGTAGAAGGTTCTAATATCTGTTTAGGGGAGGGGGCAGACACTCTAGATGTTTTCAATGACATTTGTTAGATACTGGCTGCAAGATCTCAAACTCCCCCACCATCTAGGCTTCTCCTACTCAACATTAAATCAGTGCTTCTTTTGAGAAAGGCAGGTTAGTTAGGTCCTAAGGGGGACTAATGCTTTATATATTAAAATGACCCAAAAATGTCTCCTTGGAAAACTTTTCAAAAATAGATATTAATTTATCTTCAGAGCTTTACAACCACTTTTTA